GGGGTGTCTGGCACGGCAACTAATACTGTACATACTCCGCTACATCAACGCTGCAGCTATAAGATACCACATGTACACAACTTTATATACGCTCAGTTGTACAAACTGTTACTCTCAGTGGTACAGTCCCTTGCGGTTGGGAACTCTTCCAGGATGGAAAAGACAATGGTATTGTTAGTACTACTATGGCATATACTATAATACATACATAGAGTGTCAAGACAATCGGGTCAGGTGCCGGGCATGGTGACTGAGTCTGGATGTGGGGAGACGCTGTACGATCGCCATACGAGAAGAGAGTGGGGCGAGCTCAAGGGGATGGTGGGTGGATCAACAAGAGGGATGAGCATCAACATCTGACACAAGAACGGCGGCAACGGCAAGTACATGGATTTTCAAATAACTAAGAAGATGTCGACGTAAAAGAACGGGGACTACATGGGAGATAAATGGTAAAACACCAGGCCCTGAAAAGTGTATGGACATACCTTATTGTATGAAATGTGGCAACCATGTAGCTTTTGCATTTGTCTGAGAGCTCGCATGTATTGTATGCCCTGACTGCAGACCACGAAACCTGAACTCCAAACAAAGGTTAGTTCCGGTGTACATCGCTACCCATCGCAGGCCAAGACCGTAAATTTTAATGTGAATGCAGTGATGAGCACAGTAAAACACGCTTGATACAATGACAAAAGGGTCCCCTAGAAACTTATAACGCCGCTTGAATTTTGACAGTAAACTTACGTGCCTTGTCGGTGGTCAAAGGACCACTCGCTGTGGCGCTGTCTGCACCCTCCTGCCAACGATGAGGCGACGCTCGCTGATCTGAGACTGGAGGCGCAAGGCAGTTGCTCATCTGATCTGACCTAACGCTCCCTTTGTCTTGCTTGGTGGATCGTGGGGCCTGTACACAACACACAAGGTGTACATCACTCTAGTACACCACCTGCACAGCTACCTACGTCCCATACATGTAGGTTAATTAACCCAACAGGTAGTATGCACACTTCGCTGCACAAACATTGCGACGGCAAGGCATAATACCCCCTCTCACCCATAGAAACACCATGCACTGAGTCTTCTACGAAATTGTGATCACCTACAAGCAAGAAACCTACAGGTGGCCATAGTTCAATAATTATGCTCACTCCGGGGCTGTTTTTACAACATGAGCTGCTGAAAGACCTTACTTACGTCCACATATGTACACATCAAATAGCAATTGTGTTGTTGGCACCACTAGGTTACATTTGCTCCCGCTTGCCAAAAAGGCTAAGAAAGTGACAGACCTTGACACCTCTTCTTGAGTTTGAAGTAGGCAATGAGGGCCACCAGATCCAGACTGTGTCTGCCTCCATTCACCACCACACTGTCCCCTCGAACACCGCCAATCGTCTCCTTGACCCCTCCTGTAACCCTGTCCCCTGGACAGGTGTTGTGCACAATGAATCTTACTACACACACGCACGCACTCACCCTCATGCACACCACACACACACGCACCACCCACACACGCCTCACGCACACACACACGCTATTGATGATCAGCACAAGAAATTTGGGGGTGTACAATTACATGATACTTTAGAGAGGCAGCCCTTTCGTCCACAATACAAGTGCTCCACCTGCAAGAACGACACACAAACTAAGCACTGCACAGAAATAGGTGATAACTAACCTTTTATCAGCAATTGCGTTGCCTTTGGCCTTGATTTCCACCTCTACAACTGCATAAGAAACCAATGACATGGTCGCCACGGTCGTGTGCGTAGTGTAGCACTCTCACCATGCCTGGGTTCACCGTAGTGACGATAGAGCTTCACTACCAGGAGGTATAGATGATAGCTCCTCCATTGCGCGAATCCAGTGGTCCCTCGTCCTCCTCACTCATCACCGATGTCACCACTAGCCCCTCCTCCCCACTTACACCGGCTGAAGGAGATGAAATCCTCTCCGTGTCTGGTTCCAACTTTGACTGACTGGAGCACGGACTGCCCAATGCAGCATCATTAACACTATGAATTAGGAGGACATCCCCTTCGTCTGTTGCGTCTCCATTCACAAGCTCAGTAGTACTATCATTAGTCAATAGTCTGTCATCGTCACACTTAGCTGCCATGGTATAGTCAGTCCCAGCTCCACTGTCCACTGCCTTCAAGTTCATCGCTCCATTTTGAGACGCGCCAACGCACCCCTCTCCATCTTCTCTCTCCTCTTCTCTTCTTTCCCCATCCTCCATCTTCTTCCACGCTCCCTGTCTCTCCTCCTCCCTCCTCTCTCTCCCCTCTCTCCTCCCCCAGCACAGGCTGTCTTCCCACTGGCTCAGGTCTCTCTTTGGGCAGGGCATCACCACCACGACACATGGAGACTTGGCCAACTTTGACTTCTTTCCTTCTGCACAAAACACCATAATTGTAAATCGCCATACTAAGAAACACATGTGTGTGTTGTAGATTCGAACCCCTACCAGCTGAGTTACCCTGGTACGCTCAGTTGGTAAGCGCTCGCTAATTGCAGATTGTCGTGGTTCGAATCTCACTCAGTGCAGCTCTCTTTCTTTCTTTGAAAAGACAGAGCGTGTGTCCTGGTGCAGTGACTCTTGTTTGCCTTGCCTTGCCTTTCTACCTCACTACCAAGTTGTTGAGACACGTAAGGTAAGTGGGTGTCACTTCGGACACTGCGTAATACACAGACATGTAACTATATAACTCGCTATTCAGAAACAAGAGAAAGATTCGGATATATTTCACTTGATTACTACCTACCAAAGCGCTAACAAATCTTCCTAGTCTTTCTTGCACAGCGAATAATTTCAAGGCCGGTGTTACGCCCCATGTCCAGAGGTACCTTACAGTTTGTTGGTGTTCAAAGAGTACTGCGGAGCTCTAAGATTTTAAAAGCTACAAACTACAGGGCAAAGGCTTTAGGTGATCAACAGCTACAACATTCACCTCAGCATTCAGTAGTGTAAACCAGACTATACAAAATAACCTGTACTCATTACTAAAGGTAGAAGTGGAAAAATCATTTCTTCAAAATGAAAGGGGGATATAGGGATGGCTTGAAGCACCAAAAAGGAAGAAACAAGGGGTCATTACACAGCAAAGTTGCACAAAGCTACATGACACCATCCCTATATCTTTGTTTGATATTGTTTGATATTAAACTTTGCTTATAAACAATAAAACAAAGATATAGGGATGGTGTCATGTAGCTTTGTGCAACTTTGCTGTGTAATGACCCCTTGTTTCTTCCTTTTTGGTGCTTCAAGCCATCCCTATATCCCCCTTTCATTTTGAAGAAATGATTTTTCCACTTGTTTCCACTATTTTTAACAGCTTCTGGCAACACTGCATTTATTGTTACAGTCACTCTGATGTTCATGGCTATGTTGTAGATAGGCTACCATAGACAAATTGAAAGTAGTAGCTAATGGACTGCTAGATACCATGTATTGTCTTCAACAAGGATGTAATTAGATTATTGCACATGGTTGTGGTTTCATTGGCAGGCTTTGGTAATCAGGCTACAACCTGGGGGGGACAAACAATGAAGGCCCATTTGACTGAGTGCCCCCGCAAGGCTCGCGTAACACCGCGCAGACTCTGGCAAGTTGCTCTTCGTGCATATCAACAGCAAGATAGCCAGTTGGAAATGTGCACACTTACTTACAGAAGGTACTGGAGGCTGACAGTTCCTCTGCAGGTCTGCCAACTCGCCGGTAGAATACGTTCGCAAGCACATTGGACAACGCCCCTGCCTGGCGCATGCGCGCGGATCACTGATGCTGAGTAAGCAGCAAATGGCGTTGTTCAGGTCGACCAGGGAAGAGCTCCATGATCTACCGTAGTGACTAGCGGCAAGAAAGAAACGATCGCTTGATGTCCGTGCACACCTCCGGCGAAATTGGAGACCTTCAGTGAAAAAATCAGTGCTTGAACTGGTACTGCTAAGGAGATAGCGGGTTTAAAGAAGAAGAAGAAGATGAAGAATATGATGACACGAAAATCGTGAAATCGCGTATGAGCGAATTCTCGCGTGGACGACTGAAGGTGCGTATGAGCTCTTGGGGGACATGTATAGGTAGATATGGGCCCGTAGACTATTGCTAGTATGTTTTGAAGGCGTAGGAAGTGATTCTCACCGAGTTTTTAGTCGTTTTGTACGTGGATCACGTGAGATTTCACCCGTGTCATCCCTATATAGAGAGTCTACCGACTCTCTAATGTGTATGCATACAGAACATACCGGTGGAGGAGGACTGTGAAGGGTCATTGAGCAGTGCAGACACCTTGTGCCATGTCCGATAGTAGTAAAATCGAACCTGAGGAACATGTGTACATACAACACAGCTCTAGAACACACTGGTCATGCAGGCTCTAAATCCCAGTATGTAAACTCAGGAAGTAATAGCTTGCTGTCTATTTCAGTCAAGTATGGTCATACATATTCAATACACAATGTTTAGTCTTTTCTCAAGTGCATGTAGTATGTACCTACCACAAATGAAAAGCACTAAAGTGCAATTTCCTAACGTGGGTATTATAGAATCAGGGGAATTTTGCACTAATGGGCCCCCCTTGGTCTAAAGCTGCCCAAAAAACTAAGGTTGAACTACACATACACATTATAGTACACACAGGGATATGTGAGCAAACACAATAGCTCTAATAAAAACTAATTGGGGGAGTTTCAGATACTGGAAAAATCTCAGCGTGTCTCATACACACAGACCTGGTCTTTGTTGAGATTTGGGATGACTGGATCGTTCTTCTTCCGGTACTTGGTCTGCATGAACTTCAGGATGCGGTGGAAGTTCTTCCCGTGCTGCAAAAAATTACGAACGTTTACAATATACTGCACTGTGGTATACACAGTACATTACCTGGTAGAGGCCTTCTGAGAAGGCCTCAATGGCTGTGTCAGTCCACACTTGTCTCTTCACCTTCCCTCCTCTTCCCCCTCCCCCCTCCCCCTACCCCACCCACTGCCCCCACCCCAGTCACTCCTCCTGGTTTACACACAATACACATCATTAGTAAGCTACACCAAATTCACAGAGCAAACGGGAAAGGCATACACACAAGTCGCAAAATATATGTTGCTAAAGCAACAGTTCCATCAGATATTCAGAATAGATGATGTGTACTGAAAATGGCTTAAAGGCAATGTGGCAGTATATAAGGCTGACTTAATCATACGCCACATGTAACTGTTACTAAAAACAGACTCTTGCAGTGTGTGTTACTGTAGTTAACCCTCGGCGCGCATGTGCAGCGAGGGTTATAGTACTTGGTTTGTCCGTCTGTCCGTCTGTTACCACGTTTTCTGCCACCACGCGCAACAAACAGGTCAAATAGCGACACCAACGGGTTCAGCGCTACACTGGCTTGATTTTAAAAATGGAGATTTTCGTAAAAGTGCCGCGTTCAGAAGTTATGGCGTGAAAACCAAGTGAATAAGCCAATATGCTAATTAGCACTAGCTTACCTCGACCTGATCTGCTTTATCTGTGTACCTCGGAGGCACAAGAAGTCACAACGAAGGGCGTATATCGACTCCCGCATGCTATCTACTACTGTAGCTAGCCCGTGTCAGACTCTCCGCGAGCTACTAGCGGGAGATCACGGGTAAACGCAGACTAATAGGCCCAGCCCATCAATTAGAGATACAGCGCATGCGCAATTCGCCGAGGGTTTGCATTTCATTCTTTGCTGCAGTTGCTCACCAGTCAGGCTTGTTTTGTATATCGAAAGGTTTACTTTAACTGCAAGGGGAAGGGGAGGGGGGCAACATTTGATCAAGGGGGGGCAAGTTGCCCCCCCCCTAAATAAACCCCTGTTAAGTAGAGTGATCGATTAATGAGAAGCAAGTGTACATGTACATAATGGCCTTAGTCAAAGTATTGAGCATGTAGTCATGTTCACCTAAAGAAATCTAATAACGCAGAGCCAATGAAAAAGTACTAAAGTCCAAACCCTCAGCGAACTGCGCATGTGTGGTACCGCGAATTGATGGGCTGGGCTTATGTGGTTACACGCAGTCTCCCGCTGGTACATAGCTCGCAGAGGGCCTGACACAGGCTACTATAGCAGTAGATAGAGAGTCGATACGTGCCCTTCGTTGTGAATTCTTGTGCCTTCAAGATACACAGAGCAAGTGGACCCGCTCGAGGTAAGCCTGTTCTAATTGTAGCATATTGGCTTTTCCGCTCGTGTTTCACGCCGTAACTCTAGAACGCAGCAGTTTCAGAGAAAACCCGACATATTCTTGGACCTACATACATACCCGATGTTGAATACTGTACGTGGTATATGTATATTGTTTGTGGAGCGATTGATGGCTCGGTCAGGGTACCGCACTGACTGACTGACTGACACACACAACAACTACAGTAACCCTCGCTGTGTATGCGCGTCGAGGGTTTTATATGACAGGTCTCATGTTGTCCTCTCTCTGCATTACAACTATTATTCAATCACTAGTGAGATATGTACTACACATACAGTACCAGTGTTAGGGTTCTTAGGGTTGGCATCAGCTATAGTGCTTCCCTCCTCTCCTCTCCTCCTCTTCGCAGGTCTCAGAGCCCTGCAGCCTGTCTCTCCTACACCCTGCACCACAAGACACTCACACAGCATGTTAGGCCACTGAATGACAGTATGGACACCTAGCATGCAAATTGATTTTTTTCTCATCGTCAACACCGTTCATGTTGTGGGATGAATGCTTGTGTGGTGTGGCTTGCATCTGATACACATGATGTGTATGTAGGAGGCCTTGAAGGGGCGGGGGCAAACACGAGAGTACAAGACGAAGTACAAAAGCATTAATTGCTCACTCACACAAGGTGGTGGGCATGCCCCTTGTTCACATGCTTCTGCGTGTGAAATACAATACCTTGCTGGATTCCTGAACGTCTCCTTCACGACTGAAGACTCTCTTGCGAACGTGAGACATTTCTGGCCCTCTTAACCGGGAAGGTGAGCAGCGAGTAGCCACGGCTGCTAGCTCTCGTCTCTCTCAGCCATTTTTGTTTACATTGTTCTTTGTAATGCGCACCTCTCTGCTCGACAGCGCATGGGCGTGGCAGTTGCCGCTAGAGCTATATAGCGGGGGGCGGGCATGGCAGACAATCTACAGTAGACTGTACGCAGAGATTGCCGGTGGTGCGACGTGCGGGTCGCTCCCAGTATAATATAGTGGCTAGCCCGGTTTTATCGTCTTCACATTTATCATGACCATACAACATCAAAATAAAATCTTTTTCAGCTATACTTACAGCAACACACAATGAGTAGTCCGGTCAGATGTAGATATACATAGACCTGAATTACCTAGCTATAGCGAAGTTCACTTGTTCCCACAAGAAACCTTTGGCACAGTAGAACCTTTGGCACAGTAGCACTTTGTAGAGCACGAGCGGTTGTTTTGCCTGCAGTGACACATGTCCCTCTCCTCGCAGTTCAGGACGGAGCCCGGGGCACAGGAGCAGTGGACTGCGGCTCCTTTACCTGGCAACTTCTCGATCATCACCTCCTGTGGGTTTGTCTCAGACATCTTCTCACACAAGTTCGCAGAGAGCTGTCGCGTTTCGCAAGCTATATAGCGATCTGGGGTGGCTGTTGTTGTCGGTAATTAATTGTGATCAGCGAATGCGTCGTGTCGTCGTCGTCGACGTGTGTGTGTGTGTCAGTGCGTCCCCACACATGCGCCGCGCGCTTAGATAACTAGCCACGCGGAGCGAGGCTAGAGATGAGGGGTGAATCGTGCCAAAATGTTTTTGTTCGTCTGGAGGAGGCGTGTTTCGTTGAGCGGAGACGCCTTTCTTCGAGTGGAGAGGCTCGTTTCTTCAAGTGGAGAGGCGTGTCTCGTCGAGAGGAGGAGGCGCGTTTCTTCAAGTGGGAGACTAGGCGTGGTCGGTATAGAGTAGCTCATCAATTATCGGACACCATCACCCGGACACAGCCATTTCTCTCGGACCAGACAGAGTTAGCTATCCTCGCTACGTTCAGTACCTCAGAGGGTGTCACTCAACAGGCATGCACAGTAGCAGCTTCGGCAGAGGGATAGTAACGCTACGGCGGCACAAAGATCGCTCACCGTCCGAACCAACGTCAGTCGGAATATGGCCCCTATGTTCGGACAGTGCTTGATTGTAAAGCTAAAGAGACAACGGAGACAAAGGAGACAACGTTATGTACCGAAACACTAAAATACTACAGCTGAACACGCCAGTACAGCGTCGTACAGCTGTGCGCAAACCGCCGCAATTATGCACAAAGACTCCGCCCACGTGCTTCAAACGATTGCGCATGCGCATTTGAGGCAAAATAACGCGGATACTAGTTCCGCAAAGGAGGAACTTACGGCATGTAACTCGCCTTGCCCTTGCAGTGAGTTGTAGGTATACAAGACATTGCGGTCCGACAATTCGAAGGTGTCCGATAAAGAGTGGTGTCCGGTGATTGATGAAGTACTCTATACTGCGCATGTATGTTTGACCTCCTTGACTTTCGAGACAGCGAATCGCGTTCTGAAGCTGCTGCTGGAGCTGAGATGTCGCAGTCACCAACTGCTGTTGGTGTGTCATCCCCAATCACTTCGCACGCCACCTTCAGCCGCGCGCATCGACCACGCCCCTCCCGCCGAACGAGACACGCTTCTCCACTTGCGCCTCCGCTCAACAAAAGAGCTTGAATTTTGGCACGATTCACCTCCCATAATATAAGAATACACGCCCTACGCGGCGTTGAGATGGACTGGGGAGTGCCATCCGATGCAGAAACGGGACGGTTTAGCGGTGGAGTCTACATCAAGCTATCCCAGTGTCCATCCATACTCCAGGAGAGATTTGTAAAAGCCCGGGAGGTAATGTCTGTAGTGCCACGTTACGTTGTCCCCGCTATTTTGATTCATGTCGACAGCTATAATATCTAGCCAGGGTCCTTTCTCTTAGCCCTGCCCGTAGGCTGACCTAAAATTGGATAGGTTCCTTTTTTATACTTCGCGGCATATTGGCGAGCGGGAGCGAGCTAACCCGGCGCGACGCGACGGGAACCACGGCACTGAAAGGTTTTACCGAAATTTCGCAATCGTCTGTATTTAAATTATACGTAACAACAGGCCAGGTTCCAACAGATCAGAAGCTATCAGACAAGGCTAATTGGCGTCGAGTCCAGCGAGAAGAGAGAGGCTTGCCTAGCGTTATTACTACGCAGGAATCAACAGCACACCGAGTCTGCCGAGGAGAGAGAGGGTCGACTACAGTTACTACGCAGGTACCACCTGCGCGTTGCGTCAGGATAACGCGCTTACACGCTACTGATACAGTCATTGCGTGCTCGCTCCCGCTCGCCAAAAAGCATTCGCCTACTGGTATACCCTCGGCGCCGCATGCGCAGCGAGGGTTACGGTAGTTGGGTCTGTGTGTGTGTTTGTCTGTTACTCTACATCTCACTTCTCGAGTGTTTGTTTGTCTCACAAAGTATATGGCCTACTTCTAGTCCAACTTCGGTGCTAGGAATTCTGAGCTGTGGGCTGAGGCTGCACTGGTATCGCAGAAAGTCCTTATCACAACATCTAGCGCTAGGCGTAGTGCAAATTGTCTGGCTTCCAAAGTAAATTAAAAATCCTGCGAATATAAAAAAAGAGGCATATAGGGATTAAAAAGAAAGGGAGACAAGATAGGGATGGGATACATGAAGCATGGTTCAGGAACAGATTTGAGTACGCTGACACCCCCAACCCCATCACACAATCCCTATATTGTTGCCTGGTGTGCTACTCTTATATGGGCTAAAAAGCAAGCATTCTCTTTCACTGTGTCCCTGTAACATTTATACTGCCACATTCCCTTTAAACTCCACTTGGACTCTATAAGAATGTTGGTTACTCAGTATATTATTATAGTGTATTGTAAGTTCTGAGTATTGTAATACTTCACCTAGGGAACAATAATAATATAGAGATTGTGTGTTGGGGTTGGGGGTGTCAGCGTACTCAAATATGTTCATTACCATGCTTCATATATCCCATACCTATCTTGTCTCCCTTTCTTTAGTCATAGCCCCATACATCTATGATGCTCACATGCCCATCCCTATATTATACTAAGTACTATCGTACTTAGTGTTACCGGCCTCGAGCTACGCCCTCGTAGTAAACAGCCTCGGAGTATATCATACCTATATACCAACCTGCAGATAAATCTTTGCTTGAGAAATGTGTCAAATTTGCTTGATTTGGAGTATTTTGCTTGAAAATGCTGCATGTCCATTCACAATGTATGGGCCCACAGGTTAGCACAAAAAAATAGCGTTTTTTGGCAGTATTTTTGCTTAATTATCAAGGATGGTTGATAGGTATGGTATATCCTGTACCGCCTCGCCGCCTATACGTTAACTAATACCGGGCAATGAAGGTCAGAAGTTTCGAACAATTTTCTCTGAAACTTCTCCGTTGCAAAGCTAGAGTGCGAAAAAGCCAATATGCAAATACACAACGGACAGGATGGCTAACCATGGTCTGATCGATCCGTGTGCTCTGCGTACCTCGGAGGCACCAGAAGATGCAACGCAGGGCGTGTATCGCCTCTCGCATGCTATCTAGTAGTGTGTATCGCGAGCTGGCAAGAGACCAGCTAAAACTAAACCCAGCCCATCAATTAGTGGTACGGCGCATGCCTTTACTTACGCGTGCGCGTCACAATGCGCCGACTTCAGTTCATTATTTTGCATGAACAATAATATTTATGGACCTCAGATCAGGCGAGGTTAAGCATATATCAATAAGCGAAATTACTAAAATTATTCGAAATTATTATAGTCAACTGGGATGGAGTGAAGCATATATAGTAGTGAAGCGTGCGTGCGCGCAGTGCGCAACGAGGATTTTCTCTCGGAGAGCCACGCCTTTCTTCCCCGGGCGCGCGCGCGCACGTAGCGTGGGTGGAGCGCCCTGCGGAGTCGCGCGGACCTTACGTCGGTGCGTCCGCACCTACCAAACCCCCTCAGCCTACGGGCTAGCAATAGACAATGAGCAATTTGTAATAACGAAAATCAGGTCAAGTTGTTCTTGCTTTAGCTATAAGAGCAAACACAACTGCCAATAAATCTTCATCAGGTTCACCTTAGCTCCAAAAGGAGGCACTGCTATATATACCGCTGTCCCAATCCTCAAACATGAGTTATACTTATATCCAATTATTTTTCTGTTTTTCGTTTCTGATGCCTAGAAGCAAAAATTCACAGTGACCTTTGGACCTTTGTGCTTTATTGTTGCAGGCTATCAAAGATGGTCAATATTCTGCACTTAGCAAAGCAGTTTTGTCACTGAAGGCACCAGATGTTTTTTAATGAGTTCCAGTACCCCAGGGCCTTATTGGATGTATGTGATGAGGTTGAAGACTGTGAATCACAAGCTGTCTATCCCATGACGCTACTGGCATACGCTGGCTACCACTTTACCACTGATAAATTTGATATTCTAGAGTTTCTTATAAAACAAGAAGCACGTGAGTATAATTCACTGTATACCAAAGACGCACGAAAATTGATGTTTCTTTATCGCAGATGTTGACATGGGAACACCAGAATCTGGTACCCCACTTCTTCAAATGTTAGTCTATGCTTACCATGAGCAGTGTAAGAACAAGCTGGATAGGCTCCCGGTTCAAATAGATGTTGTCAAGTTTTTCATTGATAATGGAGCCATTCTAAGTCGTGTGTTGATGGCTCCAGCGTATGATAAGTCTACCGCCCTCGAACTGGCAATTAGCTACCAGCGTTTCGACATTTCTCATTTACTCGTCGAGAGAGGAGCTGACCCATTTCTCTGTGGTGATGGGGTCATCAGTCCACTCCTTGTGGAATATCTTTTGTTTGGTAGCCACAGGTTCCTCCAGTGGCTACTCAATGATTACCTTAGTCACTCTCAGAAATCAGTTACAGAGTTTATCGACCATCTCCTGAACGAAGGAGTCCTGTTCAGGGACAATATGAAGCATACCTTCATGGAGGTGTATGGGAGGAGCCCTGCCCATGCATTTCTCCTGTGCCGTCACAAGGAGGCCATCGACTACCTAGTCCAGAGGAGACGTGAGCTCCTGGAGGAGTGTGATCCATTTGGGAGGACGGCACTCCATCTTGCTGCTGAGGAAGGAGATACGGAGAGTGTCAGGATACTCCTGGACTGGTAAGATGACACCCTCACTGACAAAATATTGTGGCATAACCTATACCTTTATTCTCAGCCAAGCTAATGTTAATGCTGAAGATAATTTATCAACAACTCCGTTTATGATGGCTACAATAAACAAGCATACTGAGGTAAGGTTAACTGAGCTTTCTATAGTCATTTTGAGTGTGAAATACCACAGATTATTGAGCTCCTGAAGCCTCGTCATATTGGCACCAAGCGCGAATTAGTCTGGGCATTGCGAAATGGGTACTCTGAATACTTTGAGGTGAGAAAATAATTAATAAGTAAGATTTGAAGCCCCTATCGTTTTTCTTAACTCAGGACATGCATAAGACTATTGAGGGCGAGATGAAATTATTGGAGCCAGTTGACATCAGTGGAAACACCATTGCTCACCTTGCTGCCGAGAATGGCAACACTTCTGTTTTTAAAGTACGTCAGTGCAGTTAGTAAAGTGATCAGTATGACACTATTGTTTTCATGTCCTTGTGACTGTCACATGTGTACACACATTAAATGGCAGTAGGTCGGCCGATGAAAACCATGTCTAACCAAGCATAGGACTCTAGTTGAAGTGTATGCATTCTGGATAATTATAGCAAACTGCACGCAATACACCATGTGGAGAAGTAGCCACACACAAAGCAAGTTACGGTACTCTGCTGTCATTTTCAACCTTTTTTCAGAATAGTAAAGATGGTATTCAAATCTGATCTGTCCTACTGACAAAATTCGAACTTCAAATCAATCACAATGCCTTACACTGTAGGGTTAGAGTGTCCAGGCTAATACAAGAATGTATCACAAATGGAGATAAAAGAGAGAAAGAACTATGGTAATCATGACTATGCTTTCAGCATCATCTGAATACAATGGCCCGGCCCATCAATTAATACAGTTTTCTTGTACATTCACATGCATTACTTTTGGATTTGTTTTTAGTGCTTAAAGTGTTCGTGATTTTTAACAGGTCACGTTTCCAGCAACACACGGCAGTGCCGATGACCCAATGTTTGAAATTTTGACTCAACTAAATTTTCATCAGAAATCCGCTTTGCACATAATTATTGAGAAGGGAAATCTTGAGTAAGTGTAGAATAAAGTGTAGTGATTAAATTTTACTGTATTTTCAGGATGTTGGATGTTCTTCACGAGAGACGGGCTGAAAGAAGTAAAAAAGCATCAAAGAATGATATATTTCAGCAACAGGCAGAGCAAATTGAGAAGACAGCGTGGAAAGAATTCTGGCATGAAGAGAGTAAAAGACTACTGCTGTATGCCTGCCGCCATGGGACAGTAGAGGTTGTTGACTACTTCCTCAAACACAGAGTTTCTCCAACCACAAAGTTAGCCCATAATATGTTATTTTTACTGTAGTGTTTTAGTCCAACCAACAGTGGCAATATAGTTCAGCTTTTACTGAAACTCCAACACTGCACACCTTACATTAATGTTCTGCGCAGTCTCTTTCTCAGCCATCGATCATGTCCTTTGCCTAACCTCTCAGCAGGACATAGCTGGGTCAGTCAGTGCTGAACACACATCGAGTGTACCAGAAGCCTAAGTTGGAGAGCATAAATGATACTCAGTTTAAATCAGCATGTAGTAGTAATAAATTTCACTGGGTTGCTTATGCTTGAACTACTATTAGAGTGGCAGTATTAGTTGCTCAATATGGTGCTATTTAGGTCAAATATACAAATCTCCACACCTGGCAAGATCACCACAGCTTTAGTCATCTGCACTTAAGAGATATACATGTAGTTGACTTGTTTGCCTCACCTTTCCTTTCTACCCAGACATGCATATACTCGGTTTGGAGTTGGGTTTATTTGGTGGTTTATAACTACCCAGGTCTCCTCCTACATACTGAGTTACTGTGCCATAGCACAGATGTTTGGAGTTTGTCATGTTGTGTTGTAGATTCAAATTCCTATATACCAGCTCAGTTGGTAGAGCGCTCGCCTAGACTGCAGAGTGCCGTGGGTTCCAGGGCAGGTTTCGTTTTAAAAAACATACCGTTTTGCTATGTAAGAGTGGTGATCCCATTAGCTTTGTACATGCAGGTATGGGCTGGAAGTTAGCTTTCCCTAACATGAGGGTACTGTAGTAACAAAGCTGCGCATTGTTCTCTCTGCCAGGATTGGTGATCAAACTCCGTTGTCGTGTGCAGCAGAGGAAGACAACTATGAGATAGTTGAATATCTACTGAATAGAGGTGTATCTTTCACTGGATGTGGAGAGGAAGAGGTATACAGTGCAGTTAAAAGTTTGACTACATATGTTTAAGATTTCCCTGTCTTTGTAGGACATTCCTGGTGAATTTCAACCACTGATGCTTTGCTGCCAAGTGTGGCCAGACCAATTGTGTCATTCTCCTTCTTAAGAGCAGGGCTAAGAGCAGGACTAACAGTCTGGTCCAGTCAAACAGAGAATACAAATATCTGATGGAGGCTATCAGTGCTGGTCACAGGTTAAAAAAACCATGCACGTTACCTATCAAAATCGTCCTGCATAAAAATTAAAAAAGTCAGTGCATTAACCCTCGGGGCACCTACAGAGCAAGGGTTTTACTGTACACATTGTGTGTATCTGCCTGTCTGTTTCACTGCTAGCAGCAACTTTTACGCCTAACTGAAGGTGCATGGCCTTCCTTCATTGTTTTTTTTTTAGTTCAAGAGTATATGTATGAAATTTTGGACACATTCTTAAAATAGTTACTTTTATAGTATTTCTAGAGGTGAATGACTTTTGGTCTCTCATCTCTGCAATAGGGAAACGGCAGTAGCCCTTCTGAAACATGACCATCAGTGGAAAGAAGCCATGAGTCATACCCTACACAGAGGAAATGGGGTTGTGGTCACTCCTTTGACCATGTTGATAAAGGAAATGCCAGGTAATATTCACTCGGTTAACAGTATAATTATACTTGAGAATGCTGTTTACTATCCTGTTTCACTATTAGGTGTTGCCAAGATAGCTTTAAACAAGTGCTTGAGTGTTGGTACCATGAGTGTGACATATGATTTTGAGTTTTTGGAGCACCACAAGAGCCAACCTGGTGGTGGAAATCGTACCTCTGTTCGTGATACCCTCAGGAATGGCCTTTCTTCATTGTGCCAGTCATTCAAAGAGAAACACTCTGAAGTACTAAATAATCCACTTTCAACCATGGTATGCTTTTTTAATGTACCATCATCTCACTCACTGGCACTATTACGTATACTCTAATAATCTCTCAAAATTATGCCACCATCAAAATTTTCCCCTTCCAAGGTAAAACACAAACGGTTGGAGCTACTCCAACACCCTCTGGTCTCTCGATACATCTCACTCCAGTGGTGGAGGCTCTTTCCCTTTCTCTTTGCCTATCAGCTGGTGTACATTCTTTTTCTGGTTCTCCTGACCGTTTATGCTGTACTAACGCCCAGACCTGGACCAGACAACCAATACTGTAAGATAGATTGCAGCAGCTCTGATTGGTATTAAAGAAACTCTGTTGTCCACAGGTTCCGGTAATTTTTCAACAGGTATATTATTATGTAGTTACTAGCTGCTATAAACTATTATGGCAAAAACATAAAGTGGGATACAAGGATGGTGTGAATCACCAAATAAGCAACATCAGGTGGTTACACAGCATAGATCCACGGCACACAACTATATCACCATCCCTTTTATCTATGAAAAAGCTTGTGGCATGACAGAGATATAGAGGTCGTGTCATGTACTTTTGAGCGGCTATGATATACAACCACCCCCTGTTGCTTTCATGCCATCCCTGTATTCTACCTCCATTTAATACCCACAGGTTCCAGTAATTATTCAGAGAACTCAACAGGTATAATTATACAGCTTTTGCATATGGAATAAGGCCACACTCATAATTTTTTAATTTATTTTTCAGCTGGCTCCTGTTTTGGTAAGAAACAATTTCTCTGAATAGGTGAAAAGGAAATGGTAGTGGCTGTTGTGTATTGCAGCAGAGAGAATCAAATGCACACGGCAAACATTCTAAAATTGATGTATATACTACTTATATACACAGGACTTGCGGAAGGGGACCTAAATCTGTTCCGGGTGCTGGCTGTTCTGATAATTCTCCTGTGTATATTCTTCCTCGTACCACAAGTCATTCCCATCTGGATATTCCACTCTAGACACACCATGACTGCAGTCACGTTTGCGTTCATCCGATTTCTGAGCATCGTCCTGACAATCATCTTTGTGTTTGGGTTTGCCAACGACTGTTGGTGTGCTCCTTCGTGGCAGTGGCAGATTGGAGCCCTGGCCGTGTTCCTGGCTTATATTCTGTTTATTCTGCAGCTAGGAGGAATGCCTTATTTCGGGGTCTATATACACATGCTGGTTAATATTGTCATAACATTCGTGAAACTGGTTTTCCTGCCATTCTTCCTGATCCTCTCATTTGCCATTCCTTTTTACATGCTGTTTGTGCGAGAGAGAGGTGCCATGCAGGTTGGTCTGGACGAAGTGTCGTTTGGATCTCTATGGCTTAAAATTTTATTTCCAAACAGATTGAACCGTTCTCAAACCCTGCAAGGGCTATTTTCAAGGTGATATTTCAGACTGTGGGACAAGTGGATTTCAACTCCCTCTTTGAAAACGGAGAGCTCCTCTATGCTCCTATGGCTGGACTCCTCTTCATCTCATTTGTGATTCTAATGCCACTGCTCTTTATAACAATGCTGGTGGGCTCTGTATATAGCCTTATTCTTCTTACATGGTTGCATGGCATTCTCTGTAGGTTGGTTTAGCTGTTGGAACTACTGAGAAGGATATTGAGAATGCTACATTCAAAGGAATAGAGTTGCAGGTATAATGCAGGAGCCTCTTGGCACACATGCACAGCAAATATTATGTGGCTGCATCGTGTTTGTGTGAAAGTGTGTTTGTTTCTGGTATTTTTCACTGTGTACTCTTGCTAGCTATGATTTTATTCTATTAACCGTTTGCAGGTTGATTTTATCCTGACAGCAAAGATATTTGAGACATGACAAAGTGCTTGTGGAATCTACCAAAAATTTGATGGTATATGAGGGAACTGAGAGCACTGATTCCGTTACACGTTGGACGTACTTGGGGCTGAATAAACTGAGAGGAGTGGACTGCGGTGAACTGGCGCAAACACTGAAGGAGGATGATCAGCCTTACAAGGTGTGCTACAAATTGTATAATACATCATAACACCATATGTGACAGCACCAGTGGCAGGATTAGCTAGCCACATACATTGATATAACTCTTATTCAAGGTGTTTTATACACCGTGAAGAGACGAAAATAATATTTCCCATTAGAATAATTATCTGCATATACTCCAGGCCAGTCACTGTAAATAAAACTTGCAGGTGGTGAAGGAGAACGTGACGAGTGTGCTTGGCATTGAGAACAGTCTGCTGGACTATACTGACAGAGGTCTGCAGAACCTTCAGTCTGAAATGAAGAACATGAGGGACACTCTTGAAGAGTTGCAGAAGAGGGAGAAGGTTCTCTCTGCCCTGTGCTCTGACATCAGAAACATAAAAGAAAATATCCATAGTATATCCGTTTTTGTAGACAAGCATCGTTATTAAATTTAGCAATATTATATACCATGTATATCCCAATTAATAATTTTCCTTATTAACATTCTCAAAGAGAGCTTATTGAAAAACGCTATGTATAATAGACCCGTTTGGCCTTGCTTCACTCACCATGATTGTTGTGAAATGGTCACTCGTTAGCACCACCAGGGACGTATTGACTATACAGCCTTATTAACCCTCGGTGCGCATGCGCAGCGAGGGTTACAGTATAGTACTTGGGTGTCTGTCACAGGTGTTTTACGTGGTCATTTAGAAATTACGCGCATGCGGGTGCTCATCACGTGAGTAACATAGCTGTGTGTCTATGTGTGTACGTGTGTGTCTGTTACTCTATATCTCACTCCTCGAACGTCTGTTCGTCCCAGGAACGCGAACGATACCATCTACCCAACGGGCGACGAAGGTCAGAAAATAAAGGCGGTTTTCTCTGAAAATGCTCCGTTGCAAAGCTAGAGCGCGAAAAAGCCAATATGCAAATACACAACGGATTGATCCGCGTGCTCTGCGTACTTCGGATGCACCAGAAGATGCAACGCAGGGCGTGTATCGCCTCTCGCATGCTATCTAGTAGTGTAGTTAGCCCGCGTCAGACTCTGCGCGAGCTGGCAAGAGACCACGAGTAACAGCTAAAACTAAACCCAGCCCATCAATTAGTGGTACGGCGCATGCGTTTACTTACGCGTGCGCGTCAGTGCGCCGAGGGTTTGCACTTCAGTGCTTTTCATTCGACTAAGCATTAACACTAGGATAGGAATACTCATACTAATACTTATCACCTATTCACCCCCTTCCTTTTCCTCTTCTATATACCACTTCCTAGTTTTACTTGGGGTATAAATACTCACCTGTGTTGTATAATAATACAATAGGCAGTCATCGTATAAGTTACTACTTACGGCCAAGTCAACAACACTACATGGTGGCAGTGGTGTGCAACTGAGACTATCGAAGGATGGCTCAACAAATTCAGCTCCAACCGCCAGAGACCTTCAACTTCCGAACCCCGGACGACTGGCGACAGCCAAGTCAACAACACTATAATTGCATGTGCTCTATAATTATAGCACTACTGACCGGATATATAGCCCACACTCAAACAGAAGACAGCACAGGGAAGAGATAACTTTCTTTCATGGTGTGCGCATTTTGGACTGTATAGGGATATGCAACATTATTTCCCTGGGTTAACTGGAGCATGATGACAGAGTTTACTGTGTGTGCATACAATACCCTCGTTACTCAAGCGAAATATTTCTCTCTTTAAACCAATGTCAGTGGCGGCACTATGCAGTTGAAGGGTATGCACATGCAAGCTACGTCAGCGCGATTCAACAGTGACACTAACTCTTCTGTTCCTCATCAGTTGAAGGTATGCACATCCAAGCTACAGAGATTCAACCAGTTAACATTACTATTCATCAGTTAACGGGTGTGTGTATAATACTTTATGCCAGTCTCAGTCTCTTGTAAGATTTCTTTTTGATTTGCCACTTAACATGCTGGACACCCCTTAATGGTCAACGCACATGGGTGTATTATGGGAGAAAGAAAGGTGCTCTCCCTTCTCTTTGTTCAGGCTCCATTCAAGCATCCAGAACATGTACTTCTTCCACTTTTACTCTTTTATTTCATGTTGTGAGAACAATTGTCTGAGTTTTTCCTGATGTTAACACCTGTTCATGTCATGATTGAGAAACACCAGTGCCTTCTTCAAGGTAGTGTTCTTGTCAGTTGTGTATGTTAACTTTCTGGACTTCGTCAGCTAATTATGCATAGGGGAGAACCTAGTTACTTGTATTAATACTTGTTGCCTTTGGAGGTTTACTAACTACACTTACACAACTCAAGCTTTCTATAATATACCTCCCTTCCTATCTTTCTGGCCACACAGTCTTCACCATTTGTTCAGTCTATACACCAGGTGTGAGATCGGGAGCGAGATGCGTGAATTAAACCCTTTGGATGCCATGGGGATTTGCTGAAATAAGCAGAAATTGATGTATAAAGTAGTATTATAACCCCCATATAAATTCTTATGGACTTATGGAGGCTCTGGACACATTATGTGTCCATTGCTGATAAAGTGTTCATATACGTTTACATTATAATACTCACAACATGCATATACATAATAGAGAAGTTATGTAAGATTATTCGGCAGATCAGTTTCTGGCATCAAACACAGTCAACAACCTACACGTACTGTACTAATGTCTTCACGAAACCTTCTTGAGAATCTTATTCATCTGCTCTTGTAAGTTCTGAATGCCAGTCTCTTTCACCTGTAAGAAAAACCAAGCACAGTTCGTGATGACCCAAGTAAGAATCAACCAGTAAATTGCTACGTATGTTAGGCTCAGAGCTACCTGGTTGGCAACAGACTATGGAAATGACTGGACTATCCACTACTGCATATATAATATACCTCTTTGACTGTCTCATGGAGGTGTCTGTTGCTTTTTTTGCAGGACAGAGATTGACATCTGGAGAGACTCCATCAGGGCAGCCATCTCAGTCACCTTTTCCTTTATCTCCTCAACTGTCTCCTGCATGGCATGTGCGTTTAGTGTCAATAACGAGGCCAAAGCAAAGCTAATCAACTACACCGAATACAACCCTTTTTCCGAGCGAAAACACTAGTCACACCACACTCTACCAACTGAGTTACCAGGGCAACTCAGCTGGTAGGGGTTCGAATCTACCACACATTACAACACAGGCAAACCTCAAACCACTGTGCTATGCAGTATACTTTTACTCGGTATGTGAATGGTAGCTGAATAGAAACAGATCATTTCCCTTAACTGAGGGTGGGAATCCCAGGCAACAAAACAGCAATGCTGACCTTGCTGCCACCATCAGAGTCCTGAAGTGACTCGTGGAGCTCTACCACCAGCTCTGCCTGTGTGTCATAGTCCACTCCCGTCATCTTGTCTTTCCAGGCCAGGAACCAGTTCCTCTTGGCTTCCTTGGAGTAGTTCAGCTGTGGGAGGTGAGCCAGGTGACGCACCACTCGCAGGTTCTCCAGTTGCACAATATACTCCACCTGCACACACATTGTCACAGTATTACTGTTGAATATACCATGCATAATGCATACGCAAAGCTGATACAATGGAAGTGTTCGCAAACTACCAGTAGAAATTGGGATTGCAACAATACACCCACAGCACGCTAATTGGTGGGCTAGGCTACGTTGGCGATTTACTCGTGGTTTCTCGCAGAGCTTGGCCAGTTTCATTGGCAGAGGGATTGCTATACACTGGTACGCAAAAGCTACATAACGCTAATTTGCCTGTTCACTTAGTTGATGCAGCACTGTTACTAGAATCATTGGTATCACTTCTTGGTCAGCTTGATGGCGGGAAACGTTGTTATTGACAAACAGAGGGAAGATAACAAACCATTACATAATATACTGTAACCCTAGTCCCTATGCCGTGCCAGGCAACCAAGCAATGCAGAAAAAGTCTCACTTGTAGGCGAATGTTTGTCAGTTCGGCCTTCTTAGTATCCTCCTCAGCAGTGCCCACAGCCAAGCCCACCTACATACGAACACATGTGCACACATCATAATCATCTCACATCATAACATTCCCTCTATACACACACTTTAGTTCAGACAACCTGTACACTCATTACTACAAAGCCAAACATCACTCTGGTATATTACCCTCGGTGCTAACACTCTTACCAGTAGGTTACTGAAGAGTACTGGCATGAGGACAACAAAGGTGACAAGAGGATGATGGCCATTGGAGTGTAGAGCAGCGAAGCCTCTTCAAACAGATTTCCATAGTCCAGTTCCCCGGCTGTCTGCATGACCACCTTGGCCAGCGAGAAGGGGAATGTGGAGAATGCCGTGAGGACTCCCGCGTCCTACGTACAGGTGAAGACCACTAGTGACACTCAGATAGAATAATACACTTCTAAGCATGGACTCCGATAGATATTATGAATTTAATATCTGTTGCACAATTAACCAGCTGTGATGTTTAATGGACGAGTGCAGACATAAAGGGGTCGGGGTGTCAGACATGCACACATGCCATTGAAATGATAATGCACACTTAGACACATGTTCTGATGAAGCACAAGCACATTGCTTAAATACATGCTACACCGAGAAAATCCTGCGCCTGTAAGTTGCAGGGTTTGACCAACTACCTTACCAGCAGGGTTCGACCCAATTTCGCATTTTTAGGCATACTGATTAACACATACACCACGTGCAATGTGAACAGAAAGTGAGTCCAACCTGAGTTTAGTCAATTACCAGAGTGCACATGTGAAAGGGGGTACAAAGTGTCCAGTAACTAGAGAGACTTACGGCATCTCCCCCTCGGATCAAACAACATGTAGAATGGAAAGGCAAAGGAGAGGATGAGGAGAATGGGGAGGTAGACCAGTCTCAGGAACACGGCTATGATATTGAGGAGCATGTTGATGGGCACTCCGAACCACGGCAGTCCCTTTAGCAGCAGGACAAAGTTGAAGAAAGCCATGAACATGACAAGGGCTCCGATCTGCCACTGCCACGGTGGAGCACACCAACAGTCGTTGGCAAACCCAGACACAAACACAATCGTCAGGAGGAACAGCAAGACGCGATAGACCAGTTGGATGAAGTCTGAGATATCCCGAGTCTCTCTCATGAGGAGGTGGAAGATTATCTCATAGGTGAGGAGTACCACGGACATGATGATTAGGATAACGGCCAGGGCAGAGAAGGCTCTTTGATCCAGCTCATCTGGATCTACACATTGTTACATATAACAATGCACTGTATCAATGCTGGAAATTGAATACCATGAAACCTCCGAACAATGGACACAGCAGGGGCAAGACTAGGTTGGCTCACACCCACTCACTAATAACATATCTCTGCCTACTCAACATTTGGCTCCCTGTGGATCATGTGACTTTAGAGGCCAAGGCTTCTGCTTTTGCCTATCACTAGAGATAATCAGGGTGGGGTTTGTCAATTACTTGGAAATTGGCAGGGGCATGCAGTTTGCTCATTTCTGTTCAGAGTGTCCATTGTTGATGGTTGGTGCCTGTCACTATAGCTACGCAATACAAACCGTGGAGTACAAACCCCTGTCATAATTAAAATGTTACACTAGTTACGGCTCACAAATACCAATTCGTATCAACACATACCTTTGCAAACTCCAGCTGTAGAAAACAAAAACAATCCGCAATTAAACATGTACTACATTATGTACACTGCCATTAGGACTCACCTCCTAAGTTGTCTTGTGTATAACCAGCTGTTGTATCATTGCTGGGACCTACATAACAAATACAGACAAGCAAGGAACTATCATTAACCCTCGGCGCGCATGCGCAGCGAGGGTTACGGTACTTGGTTCGTGAGTATGTCTGTCTGTTTGTTACCACGTTTTCTGTGACTACGCGCAACGAGACAACAAACCAGCGATACCAATACCAACAGGTTCATAGCTACACTGGCTTCATTTTAAAAAGGTGATTTTCATAAAGATACTGCGTTCGAAAGTTATGGCGTGAAAAGAGAGTGAACAACCCAATACGCAAATTAGCACAGGCTTACCTCGACCGGAGGAGGCACAAGATGTCACAACGAAGGGTGTGTATCGACTCCCGCATGCTGTAGCTACTCCGTGTCAGGCTCTCCGCGAGTACTAGTGGGAGACCACGAGTAAACGCATACTGGTAGCCCAGCCCGTCAATTTAGCGGTACCGTGCATGCGCAGTTCGCTGAGGGTTTGCACTTTAGTGCTTTTCATTACATGCAGAGGCACTCACAGTAAGTGCTCTCGGGACCAGGTCTGGGGATGAGCAGGGAGAAAGAGGCCAGGAAGACCAGAAAGAGAACGTAGAGACTCAGAACGGTGAGAAACACTGGGAACGAAATCCTCCACCACTTGTAGTGAATGTAGCGACGGATGAGTGGGTGTTTGAGGAGGTCGAGTCTCTCATTCTTCACCTGCACCAACCAGAGGACACACGTGAACTAAACTTAACATCATGATTTCAAAATACCACACACGCTTCTGACTGAGAGAGTTGGGCTAAACTCTCTCTCTAAACTGCAATTTTCATACTATAAGCTCTGCCTTACTATTTTAGTAACTGTGGATTGTGCCACTAGTTAAATCTTTTTGTAGTCCAACTTCAAACAACCCTTGCTAGGAATATACTCTGTATCCTGAGCTGTGGGCTGGGGGCTGCACTGAAGTCCTTATCACAACATGTAGTGCTAGGCTTAGTCCAAATTGTCTGGCTTCCAAAGTTTACACAATAGTCTATTAGTATTAGTGCAGAATGACACAGTCACACAGCAGAAATTCAGCATTGTGATCAGCTAGTTGGACTACAAATCAGTTAAAGCTGTTAACTATACCAGCCTCAGGCTAGTATAGTAAACAGCCTCGGAGTATCTCCTGTATATACCACCGCCTATACAGTTAACTAACATACATACAGTACTTATACAGGCAATATACACACTATACCATTAGCATAAGAGGATGTTCAAGTCCCTTATAATCTGATGGTTTTATCAGATTCCTCCTGCCGGCATCCCTCCCCCTCGGACGATGTCCCTGACTACTACCACTGGCTGTCCCACCAGAAGACGGTGTTGAAAGACGGGAAAACTGGAATGATTCTGGCGTTGTAGCTCCGCCCCCACTCTGCAGCTCCAGCCGTGGCTCTGATGAAGGCTGCACGTAGTCCTCTATGAACTCAAAGTCGTAGACGACTTCTTGTGAGTGACGTGTGGGGGGTTCAACACACTTTGTGAGAACCATCTTTGACACCCCTGAACATAAAATAAGTAGTTTACAATCTCGCAGGTTTGTTCTTGTAGTGATATTTTACCACACAAAAACGTCTTATGAAGTGAGTCCAGTGCTGTGCATAAAAACATGCATTAGGCAAATCAATGTTTTGCTTGAACAGAAACCAAACCATGTTATGCAACATAATTGAGCAACTGAAGTATATATATAGCACATGTTGTTCCACTACTCAAACTTGCCTCTACAGATATATGAAAGTATGTACCTGGCATTGACTCAATGAGCATTCTGATTGGAGTGAGAAACCTTCCATCTTCTGGTACACAGTGTCGCATAGAACCCTTCCAGGTTTTGGAATCAGTAACAAATGTAACAGCAACACTCCTGTTACCGAAAAGAAAAGAAAAGCACTAAAGTGGAAACCCTAGGTGCACTAGAAATGTTGAACTTATGTATACACATGTGCGGTACCGCTATATGATAGACTGGGCTATGCGTCGTCAATTTACTATCTTACTGTATATTAGAGTGTCGGTAGACAGATGTCATGGGTCAAATCTCACGTGATCCGCATACAAAATGGCTCAAAACTCGGCGATACTAACTTGATATGCCTTCGCCCATGCATTAAAAAAAGAAAACTATATTTTTTGCACCATTTAATCTTTTACATGGCTTGTTTTAGGAAAAATTCATAAAATGTAAGGTTGAAAAAAATGATAATGGACAATCCGAAAGGGTTATGTTGAGATGCTTTTTACATAATGCAATACTGGCCAAGCATTAAAAAAATAACTGAACATCTTGCACCACTTAAACTTATCCATGGATTGTTTCAGGTGAAAAATACATACAGGTTGAAAAAAAATGCCACCTACATCTCTCCAGACAGACGTCTATGGACGCAGTGCAATGCCAAACTGTACGCTGTCCTTTGAGATGTATGTGGCGGTGGCGTGGGTCAATGGTAGATTCGTGGGTAAGGGGAGGAACCAGAGCTGTTCCCAGCCAATGCTCTGGACCACCTGACAGTTTCAGTGCGGGTCCGGCATTCGAACCGGGCACCTTATGTGTCAGTCCCCACGTCTCTAACCACTTAGCCACTTGGGCTGGCCACGAGAGCTGATGAAAAAACGTTCCTCTTATATCAACACTCATATTACATCATTATTAAAAAAACTCCCCAGACCCGGGATCGAACCACGGACCTCACGATCTAGTGTGCGAGTCTTTATCCATCAGACCACACCCAATATTGAGTGGGGGAAGGTTCAACATTGTAATTATATCACATGCACGATACCACTAATTGATGGGCTGGGGTATGAACACGTGTTTACTCTCACGAAGAGTTTGACATAGGCTAGCTACATAGTAGATAGCATGTGGGAGTAATTACATGCCTTCCTTTGTGACTTCTTGTGCCTGCAAGGTATATACACATAGAGCAGGTCGAGGTAAGCCTGTGCGATTATGCATATTGGCTTTTTCACTGGTTTTCACGGCCTATCTCTCGAATGCAGTCGTTTCAGGAAAATCACCATTGAATTTCTTAGGCTCGCGTAGTTCTCAAGGTACCACTAATAGGCTGCCTCGTAGCCTTTAGTGCTAGAATAAGTGTCGACACAGACACACAGAGACAGACAGACAGACAATTCAACTACTGTAACCCTCCCTTGCATCAGTTATCGTAACAGTTGGGTACATAATGCATTCTTCAGCAGAAGTATATCTTTGCTGAGTTTCTGGTGGGAGTATAACCAAGAGGTGCAAATGGCATATGTATGTTTCTGTGTATCTAGCACAGTGTAAGGCGTAAAGTTGTAAGTAGTAATTAATTATCACATGACCTAACACTGGAGGTGAACAGCATACATCTGTCTTCTTCCCTACTGTATTCTGGCCTGGACACTAATTGCTCACTTGTGTCCCCTGTCGATGCTCTCCATGAGACAGTTGTAGCCACGATCAGAGACCACCCCAATGTCCGCCTCTTTCTCCAGTAGCAGTTGTACACACTTGGAGTGGCCATATTTGGAAGCCAGCATGAGTGGGGAGTGCTGCTTCTCAACCTCACCCCGTGTCTATACACGTGCAGTAGGGAGGCAGACAGGATGTGATACTCAACTGACAACAACTAAAGCCTTCATTACATACTGAAAATGAGTATTAATGACAAAGCTCTGTGTCTGTGTTCATTAAGGTTCACCTAAACTCAAGGGGGGGCAAGATTTGATCAATGGGAAGGGGGCGTCCCTCTCAAATTAACCTCTGCTACTGGTACATTTGAATGTATCGACAGAAGAAACGGGAGTGCCATGATTGCTCACACGCACCTCCTCTGCTGCCACTCCTTCAGCAGAGACTCCAGGAATACTGAGGAGATAGGCCACAATCTCATGTTTACCAGCCTTTGCTGCCACTGAGAGTGGGGTCAGTCCATCAGCATACCTGCAGAGAACACTTCACTGTGACACGTGCACACACACATTTGTAGTAAAATGAGACTCTCAACACAAACAAAAGTAGTAATACACCTTAGCACGTGATCATAATAGTCATCTATGCTGTGCATGTGGTACTCTCACATTGTTTCGCAAAACTTGTGTAATGATTGTGTAATGCACTGTAACAGACAAGTACACAGCCCTGGCATATGGGATAGAATGTGTACACCTACAAGTAGTACCTGGTGGTAGGAGGCACAAGTCTAGTTGTGAAGTACTTGACAGTCTCCACGGTCCCGTGGGAGCAGGCATAGAGGAGGAGCCCTGGACTCTCTATGTCCCAGAAATCCTTCCACTCTCGTTTCTCCACCGACACCACCTGCTTCTGGGACCAGTCCTCGGTCCTGGACGCAGCCTTCTCCCTCTCCTTCTTCCTCTCCTGGAGACCCGTCAGAATTCTAAAAGAGGAGAAAGTGACCAGTAGCTCACCATACGTACATATGTATAGCTCAGTTGGTAGAGTGCTCGCCTAGATTTCCGAGTGTCGTTGGTTCAAATCCCACCCAGGGCAGCTGTTCTTTTTCCTGTGTAGTTGTTTTGTTTTTTTGCCTTTCTACCTCGTATTGTAGTTCACATACTGCATGTATCCGTGCCATACAAAACCTACCCGACATTTCCATTGTCAATTGCCAGCTGGAGGGGAGTTTTGTTGCGGCTGTTTTGTATCATCAGGATCTCATAGAGATTCTCACTCGATTTGGTCTTGGGAAATGTTGTCTGCACACACAGAGTGAACGTTAATATAACGTGTTACATTCAGCACGTTACAACGAAAGCACCTTGAACACAGAGACATGGTTACCCTCGGCAGCTACGTGGGCAATGGTGTTTCCATTACTGTCGATTGGCTTCTTCAAAACCTCTTCCAGCTCATGAGTTCTGTGCAAAGTCTGAAAACACACAAACATCACGTCAAGATTGTATTTCTCACACACGTACATGCATGCTAAGTGAGAGTATACTGTGGCATAGCACAGTTGTTTGAGGCCTTGTGTTGTATTGTGTTGTAGATGCGAACCCCTACCAGCTGAGTTGCCCTTGTAACTCAGTTGGTAGAGCACTCGCCTAGACTGCAGAGTGTTGTGGGTTCGAATCCCACCTAGGGCAGCTCTTAAAAAAAGCTGTCCTGGGTGTAGTTGATTTGTTTGTTGTTCCTTTGCCTTTCTACCTCATAGTTTTCACATGCACATATAGTACACACTCAAAGGCAGACATGCACACACCTCAAAATACGAGGTATAGCCGTGTTGGAGGGCCCAGGCCCAGAGACCCATAGGGTCCTCACTCTTCCCTGCTCTGCTGGCAAACATCTCTATCTCTCTCACCACCTGCGCACACAAACACAGTTACACATTGCACTACCAGGGTTTTAGCAAGGGGGCAATTAAAGGAGGTGGGGTCGACTGACCACTTGCCACACATTCACTTCCAAAAGACTATACTATGCATCTATTACACACATTTGTCAAAGTACTGTATATACACTTCTGTAAAGCAGGGAGAAAGGAGTGGGGAATGAATAAAAAGGAGGGTAACCCCTTGCTTCCCTGCTTTAGCTAAAACCCTGACTACTAGGAAATACACTATAGTATGTTACAATGTGAATTAGTTTTACACTCAAAGTTCAACCAGTGAGTAGTTGTATAACTCTCAAAAATGTAGTTGCAGCTATGCATATACAATGTAGAAGCTACGCATACGTACCTCTTCGTGTTCATTTTTGGTGGCCAGCATAAGTGGCGTCATTAGGCTTTTGTCCTCCACTTCAATGTCGGCATTACTATATACATAATTATACCACAATAAGTAAAGTGTTATGTACAAGATAGTCATGCTTCAACAAAGCCTCACCAGTCCAGGAGTATCCGAACACTCTCCAAATCTCCTTCCTCAGCAGCAAGATGGAGTGCCGTCCTCCCAAACGGGTCGCACTCCTCCAGGAGCTCACGTCTCCTCTGGACCAGGTAGTCGATGGCCTCCTTGTGACGGCACAGGAGGAAGGCATGGGCGGGACTCCTCCCATACACCTCCATGACAGTGTTCTTCATATTGTCCCTGAACAGGACTCCCGTCTCCAGAAGACGATCGATGAAGCCGGGAATCTTGGACTGGCCGAGGTGGTTCTCCAGCAGCCACCGGATGAAGCTGAAGGTGCCAAAAAGGGTGTATTCGACAAGGAGAGGACTGACAACTCCATCACCACAGAGGATTGGGTCGGCCCCTGCCTCAATGAGCACTTGGACAATGTCGAGTTGTTGAAAGCTGATTGCCAGCTCGAGGGCAGTAGACTTGTCGTACTCTGGCGCCATCAACACACGGCTTAGAACAGTTCCATGGTCGGTGAAAAACTTGACGATGGAGACATCGATTTGGGGGCTGGACAGGCCTTCTTCCGTCTGCTTGATGTAGGCATAGATCATCATTTGAATGAGAGGAGAGCCAGACTCCATGTTACCCATGTCAAAATCTGTAATCACACACCATAGTAAAGAGTCCATTTTTCATTGAAAAAACGTATAGATCTACCAACATCGTATGAAACTGACCCTGTTGAGGGGTGTGTACAAAGGCACTCCAACTGCCGAGCGCATTAGCGTGAGGCAACTACTCCGGGTTGTATTCTCGCGATATGCGTACGTACGTACGTGTCGTCACGCTTAAGAATGTCAATTAGTCACCAAAAGGAAGTGTAACTTCCGTAATTCGTAGGAAGTCTAGCTTCCGCCGTGCGCGCAGATTCGTAGGAAGTCTGGCTTCGCGCTCAGTCAGTAGAGCGCGCGCACGAGCGGCCTCAGTCGGACTGTTTACGCATTGGCTGGCAGGCACGAGGCAAAATATGCGCATGCGCATTCCTAATTTGGAGAAGCACTGGCCTACACTTGTGCCTACACTTTTGCCTACACTAATCAACTAAGATGCATGATACAAATTTACTCCGGAAGAGATGCTACGTACTGACACACATGGCAGTATGCACACCTTGGGGTGCTATAGCTTAGGGGTTCTAGGGAGAGCAATACCTGTTGAATCGAAATACATGTACTGTACATACGTCGAATGCTAAAAGACATTCTGGTTTAAGACAATATAACTTAACACTCCTTGGGGTAATACGCAACTCAGTCCTCCAAAAAGGTGTACCTGAACACCCTGAAACATTTCTATCTGAAAGGTGTTACATGTGTGGACGACGGAAATGGTAGCAGCCTATTGCAAGACCTGCTGTTGTTCCCATACTGTCTCACTACGGCATCAGGAATCCAAATTTTGAGGCAATGTACACGATATCTTCCGTTAATTTGATGCAGCTAGCGGATCCATCACAGCGCTGCTCTTCACTTCTTACGTACGTACAGTGTAAGCAACCCCTTTCAACACCTAGACTCTTTCTCCATCCATAACAAACATATTGAAATATGAATCTGTGTAGCGTGGATCACGTGAATAGCAGGGTTTCAAACAAACTAGCTACTGATCACCATACATGTGGGAAGTACAGTAAGTGAGACCTACCAGCTTTCTCTGATTGCAGGAAGGTTAGCATGTCCTTCTGGACATGGTAGCCAGCAGAACGCGAGCAGAGACACGGCGTACTCATCATCGGACTCAGTGGGAACCATCTCACACACATTCAGACACTGGTCACTGGGAACACCTCCACTCCCCTTCATATCAGCCACGGCCTTTTTCAGCCCATCCAGGTCGCCACTCTCTATGGCCTGCAACAGTGATGCACAGTTTGAGAATGGGAAGAATGGGGAGTACACAGTAGCACTAACCTGCCGGGCGTTCTTGAAATAATTCTGAAAGTCGGCGGGACAGTCGGAAAGTTTGAGAAACGTTTCCGGTCTTGAAATTGTTTGTCTCAGCATCGGAGGCTATCCAGTTCACGGCCATGGTCACTCGGCAAGCCGGACTCGCTCAACCGCGCTGTTTTAATTATGCTATATGCGCGCATGCCCAAGACTTTCACTCTGCGCATGCGTTTTATGCAAACGATCGAGTGCGCATGAGTATTTGCTCTGTCGTCCCACGCTCTCTGTCCGTCGTCCTCCGGCTTAGCCGTGGCTAGTCTCCGCCCCAGCCCCTTTCTGTCCGCGCCAGGCAGACTAGCTACTTATCCACGCCAGTTAGTGAATGAACTGCTAGCTTTTCTGTCTCATCGGTGTGACAGTTGCACTTTCTCTTTCTCTCTCTCACTGGATTCTAGCTGTTGCCACAGTTCCATTGACAGGGTTTTATGCAAGTGCTTTGTAACCGAAACCATCTGTGTAACACTGATCTATTTTCTTGCACCTGCTCCTGGATAGCTGTAAATGCGATCCCGGAGAATTGTGCGTGGGCGTACGTTTTCAACGCCAAAGCAAAAACGCTAGTGACTTATAGTGAATTTAGGTATATTTCTCGGAATTTTCCTACCTTCTTTTCCAAACTTATTAGCATATTCCTATTCCTCCTCCATACATTCTCTATGGGAGAGAGAAAACCCATGTGCGACTCACCCAGGAGCGAACGGTCCGTATCCAATATGCGCCGCGCGCAATGGCGTTCTTTCGCACGCGCAGGCGTATTAGAGCCATCCCGAAAAATAGGCGTGGCGCACTGAGTATATATTCAATATCAGGCTTGTGTAGTTAACTGTACTACCCGCTCCCCCTCGCCCTGCCAATAATGTCTTCAATTCTGCATTTGGATACCCAAAGCAGCAAAAATTGCTAATGTTATATATAATTATATATGTGCATGCCAGCTTATATAACTAGTAATAATTGTTTAAGTATATCTTAAAGTAGTAGGGTCATTGTCTAATACGTCACGAGGTAAGTTATTCCACACTTGGAGTGTTTTAGGCAAAAAGAAGTGCTGAAACTGAGTTGTGCGTGCGAATGGGATTTTATAGGAACTTGGTGCACTTGCACAGGTTGAAGCAGATGGTTGTAGCTATATATTATGGTTAGAACGTCAGGAGGAAGGTAGGAGCGGTATGTAAGTAATGTAGCCACCCTTAGGTACTCTCGGCGGCTGGCCAATGTTGGGATTTTGAACAAATCCAACAATTCTTCATAACTAGCAGACCATCTTCCAGAGCTGATACGAAGAGCATACACTCGCTTGGATCATTCATACTGTTCCCGTTTTGGGAGGCTGTCCTACCATTGATGCGCTTGTCCGATCTTTGCTGTGCCCGAATCATAACTTTACGGCAACGTCATTCCCACGGTAAAGCTCGGATAAGAGCGAATATTTTTATACAACAATTTATGACCAAGAACTACACTTTGGTATACACAATAGCCAATTTAGTCCTGCACAGACTTCACAAATGCGTCCGAGAATACATGGCGTCCGATTATCTGTGCCTTACTAATATTTTCAAATTTTTTTTTGTATATATATAAGGATTCCACACTTGGCAGGCATATTCCAGAATCGTTCTACTTATAACTGTGGTTCTTGCATCCACATTCCGTTTCACAAACATACACTGGCTTAGGACGCCTTCTTACAGTTTCCTTGCCAAAAGATATATAGCTGACCTTGGAATGTTCCGCGGTGCCGATGCGGATTACGCCCCTCTGTTCAATAGGTGCTTCTCAGAATTCGCCCGTCGCGCGCTATGAGAAGGTGGAAAAGTGGTCGCTGTGGCCTTTCAGGTAGGCAAATACTCCTGTCACTCATAGTGGTATTTGCAGTGGTGGCCGTCATGAAATATCGACTCGCACCGTACGACGGCGGCGCTTCACGAGAAGCTACTCTCCGTCCGATTCAGAAAGCTGCTCTCCGTCCGATTCAGAAAGCTACTCTCCGTCCGATTCAGAAAGCTGCTCTCCGTCAGTCCGATTCAGAAAGCTATACTCTCCGTCCGATTCAGAAAGCCACCCTCCGTCCAATTCCAGAACTTTCCCTCAAGTACTCGAGATTGGGGAGCCAACTGCAGTTGAACTACACCAAGATGTGCCCCCGCGGTTCTCTGATGCTGGAAAACAGCAAACAACGCAGTCAGTTCGTTCCTAACCATCAAAACTGCCCCTCCCTTTTCATCGTTGGAGCCAGAAAAGGAGGGACCTCGTCTCTGTACACGTACATGTCCAAACACCCTTCGTTCAAGGGCGTTCTTCTGGACAAAGGTCCCGCGGTAGGCGAGACCTGCTACTTCAGCTTCTTCTGGAAGCAATGGCAATGGAGCCAGTACATGAACATGTTTCAGAATACTAGTCACTACATGACAGGAGAGTCAAGTGTGACTATCTGGTCGACTGTCATATTCCTGAGAGACTGTGGAAATCATGCGGGAAACAGGCAAAGATTGTAATTCTCCTTCGAGACCCAATAAAGAGGTTCGAGTCAAATTACCTCATGCGAGCCCGAGCGAAAGAAAATCAGTGGCAATGTATCAACTGTAGTCGATCTTGAGATGAACAGATTCCTCAGTGCTACCCTTAAGAAGGGTGTTGATACACAGAGCATGGAGCATTCTTGGGAGAACTTTCGGTGTCTCTTTTTCTTTGCTGCAAGTATGATCTATGAAGGACTTTACTACGTCCATGTCATGAACTGGCTATGCAACTTTCCTCCTGAGAACATTCTCATCCTCAACAGCGAGGAGTTTTTCCACGACACGCCAGCAGTCTATAAAGAAGTGATTAATTTCCTCGGTCTCCCTCCTCTCGATCCCAATACAATAGCATCTATTACGTCCAAATCCTACAATGCACGCAAGCAAGACCAGGAGCAGATGCCTGAAAAGGAGCAAAACAAACTGAGAGTAATCTTCAAACAAACTAACAAACCACTTTTTCGCCTATTGGGATGGGAAGATTTGGACTGGAACTGAGAACGAGAGCTTCGTTTCTAAAAGACAGTGTCATGATTTGTTTTATTATAAAAGTGTGTTGTATCTTGCGCGGGTATAATAGTTCTCAGTAACTCAACAGACTTATTATTAGTACAGGGAATGCAGACAGACTAAGATACATAAGATGTCTACTTTTATGGGGTAAAACACGGACCCGGAGATGAATGACTGATGATCGACTAGCTATATATATAATTATAGTCGTGCTACTACAGAGTGCAAGTGCTAGCACAATGTTTATGAGTAATATTATGTTCGGTCTTATGACGGGGAGACCTCCATTGATATTGAATCAATCAACATACGCAACACAACTTACGACAACATACATTCCACCTACTTTGTCTCATGGAAACGCCGTTGAGCTTCAGCCGTAATTGCAACTAACTCTGGGTTGTATTCTCGCGATATTATTATTATTTTTTTTATTACACACACCAACAGGTGCAAATGAAGAGAGAGAGGATGAATAATGAAGAAGATAGGGTAGTTTAATGAAGAGATATGAATGATGTACGACTCAAAAGGAGAATGGGTGCCATATACGATGGCGGCGCGTGGTTTACGGGTTGTACTCGAGCCCGAGTGGTCTCATCAAAACTGAAGCCACGAGTGTGCAACCAGTAAACCACAAGCAAAGCCATCGTATAACGTGTTTGTATGATGACATCTGGCGGTAAGGCTCTGACCAATGAGATTGCGCAAAAGCTTTCAAAACGCCCTCTTTTTAACGCACACACTCGAGTCGAGGGTGTGCGTACGGGGAAGAAAAGGGAAGATAGTCCCTGAGTTTGGTTGGCATGTGCCAACCTCACTGCATGTGGCTTCCTAGTGGTCAAAAATGTAACTGTTGACCCACCTCTACTGTACTACTGTATTGGGCCTAGGGTTTCTGTCTCTATAGTAAGCAAGGCACTAATGTTAGAGACAAACAGTATGTGCATGTATGTTCTGTGCACTGGCACGCAAGCTCAAGAGTAGGACATAGCTATATGCCCAGCCTTGAAAACTGGGGATGGTGGGTTAAAGATCTTTTATGGCATGCGAACTCTCCCTACATATCCAATGTCGTGGACTCTCATGTAAAATCTACCACTTACAGTAAGTAATGACCACCTAGGGCTCTCTGCGTTCAACTAGAGGGCAGAGGGTATTTACATAGGGGTGTTGTGATGTCGTATATTTCCTACTACGGGGGGGGTTGGGTTTGTTACTCTAGGGTCTCTACTGAGAATCAGTGTCAAAATGAGGTGCTGTGTGTACTTGTGTGCATCCTGGCTGTAATTGACTTGTTTGCCTTGCCTTGCCTTTCTAGTTACCAAGTTGTTGAGACATGCATATATTCGGTTTGGAGTTGGGCGTCTTTGGTGGTTTAATTGCCCCGGTTTCATCCTATATAAACTGAGTAAGAATATTATTGTGCCATAGCACAGTGGTTTGAGGTTTGCCTTGTGTTGTGTTGTGTTGTAGATGACTTGTTTGCCTTGCCTTGCCTTTCTACCACATTATCAAGTTGTTGAGACATGCACTGGCATGTTCTAACCACAGGGCACAGTTGTGGTTTAGGCTGACAGTTAGCTTCACTATAGCTCATGTAATTTGTAGGTATATAGCTAATCCCTGACCTCCTTTTAGGGGCAATCAACCTTAGGTTGTCAATGCTGCAGATTAGAACACAACAAGTCGTATGTAGCAGTGAGGCATTGTCCAGATATTTGCAGAGGTTCCAAGCCTTCTAACCCAACAACAGTGCAAGTGGCTGCATATAGTGAGAAAGAGTTGGGGAGTCAGGGACACTGTAACACCATAGGGTATCCAATCACACAAAGAAAGTGCTGAAGACTGAAGGGGTAGTATAGCATCATGATCCACATATGGGTCTACAGTGTCTCTTCACTTACAGGGGTTGCCAAGGAGGGTTAAGGCACTGTTGTATGCTGTGTTGGTTTCATGAGACTACAAGCATGGGAAACCACACGCTCAAATATTTCAGATATGACAAGTACGTGTATCCAGGTAATTCGAACACCCCACACTATTATCACTTAGCATTCTTTCAGGAACATAGTGTCATACGTAA